GTGTCCTATGGATTTAGGGATAGGACGCCACAAAAAATTCCCTAACAGCATTAAACATATCCTGATCAACAATATCATAAGCAAATTGATAGAAAAAACCATCATAACCGTCGCTACCTGGGGCACTATTTTTATCCTAATCAAAGACAACCTTACGAAGCTCTGTCTTAGTTATAGGACTCAAAAGAGTGTCATTATCAACAGAGGTAATAACAGGCACAACATCGCTCAGGTAATTGGCAGGGTCAAGAGAATCATAGTAGTATTAGAAGTAAGAAGCTCAGAAAACAAATAAACCGCAGCATTACCAGTATCATTGGTGTTCTCAATCTAGGACCCATCGTCCAGTTTAATTTTGTTAATGTTGAGTCAACATTTTGTTATATTCTCCATCATTGTGTTGCACTATTTGTGTATCCCCAAAACATAAACAAAACAATGTAAGCCTCTTGAATCTATCCTACCATTTAGTATGCTCATTCTTTTAGCATTAGTTTGACATTGTACGATATCATTTCGTACCGATCCGAATTGTACGGGACCATACCGAATCCTTAAAAAACTCACAGGCCACATTATCGGTTTGACTAATGACATAAGCATATTAGGGTGGTTTCAACTAAGGGGGCTAAATTCACTCCAGTTCTGTTGAAAGCCTAGACAACTAACGTTTCATTTTTTTTATTAAAAAAACACTTCAAATCTTGTTCATTTGTTGTAACACAGTTAGTTTCAGTTACTACATTACTCCTAATTTATTCTCTTTTAGAAATGATAATATTTGTCCACAGGTAATAACTAAAGGTTCAATTTTTTACTACGTATTAAAGAGGTGGCCGGTTACCATAATTTTGATGCAGATGAAAAGAAAAAGGACAAGATAAAGTTGAATATATTGAGACGTAAAAATGGAATAAATCAACATAAAATTGGATATATGTGGAAAAATCTATTCAAAATTATTTTGGAATATCTTATCTCAGAGAGGACAATAACAGCTGTGGTGGCTGCGTCGAATGGTCAATCTCAATGAGTAAATAGCAATAACGTAGAGAATCGTTCAGATATTCGGAGTTTTATTGCAACCAGGCCTGGACTCGCATCTTTTGTACTTTTCCATGCACGGTTGACAATAGTATATGTGAAACCGTCGACGTTTCAAACCATTTGATAAATCAAACATTGTCTCTCAGTTTAGCACTTCTCATTTACGGATTTACCTTTCTTTTCACATTCCAACTAAAGTTCCATTTTTATTTTAATAAATACTCCGTAATATATACTTCCTCCGTTCTTTTTTAGTTGCAACGGTCAACATTTCACATTTGCCAACTCACGTCTTTGACTGTAATTATATCTTAATCTCTATTAGTAAAAAAAAAAATTAAAAAACGGATTTGGAAACTTTGTAATGAGATGAATTGAACAATATCTTTTTTAAAAAATAATTTTCGTAAAATAATAACATAAAATTTAGTCAAAGTAGAGCCAGTGAATAGTGTAAAATTCAACATGTTGCGATTAAAAAGAAACGGAGGATAGTAATTAATACTTTTAAATGACAATATAATTACTAATTATTGAGGTTTTATCTCGTAGATCCGAAAGCCCAACACATGCTTTGGATATTAAGGACGTTTGGTTTCTGTTTATAAAGGTGTATGAAATATAAAACAGTGAATATGGACTCAACTCAGAAGCTAATCGTATTCAGTAATTCGATGATTACCTATTAAGCACGGATACTTCACTAGGGTGTCGTATCGCGTATCGGAAACGTTCCCGTATCCGATACTCTAGGATACCCGTATCATACGTTGTTGGGCCGTATCTGTAATTTTTAAAAGTTTCCATTTTTTTGTAATTATTTTAAAATTTCGGATACTCGTATCCTGACGGATACCCGTATCAACTTTTTAAAAGAAAATCTTCCAAAAAACACTTAAAATTTACATAATTAAATTCTTAAAAAATGAAAAACTAGAAATAATGTTTACCTTGCTTTTATGTGGTACACAACTAATGGGTCTAATCCTATTTCACTCATCCTCCTATCCCTAATTTTAATTATTCCTAGATATTAATAGCTCCAACGGAAATATGTATTAGAACTTTTAAGATATTATTTTCTATATTCATTACTCTAGAACTTCGAGTACTTGCACTTTCAATTTCAAAATTGTGGTTGTTTGACTTGTTTCTCATTTTAAATTAATGACTTGTTGACTATATTTATATTTCTTTGAAGTGCACTAGTGTATACAGGGGCATAAATATTATCGAGGTGGGCTAAATGTGAAAAATGAAAAATATACACTAAAAACATTGATTCTTTTAAGTTGCCATGTGCTTCAGCCCACCATAGCCCGTACATAGATCCTCCCCTGAGTGTATATGAGATAAAATGTGAACTTATTATTAAGTATCTTGAAAATGTAAAATGCTTCAATGCCATGAATGAGTAGACGTCATAGGATAATATATGTCTATTTTTTGAAAAAAGAAAGGTATTTTTAATATTTATAAATATACCCTGTAACTTTTAATATTTATAAATAACCCCCATAACTTTAGATATTTATATATATGGCCATGTATCTATATCCTACCTTTTTTTTGTTTTGTCGTATCCCCGTACCCGTTTCCGCGTTTCCGCGTACCCGTATCGGTGCTACATAGATGATTACAATTAAACTGCCCGAATGGTACGTCAGTACGAGTTTGAATACAATACAAGAGAGATGGTTCTATTGCTAAGCTCTGAGTATGAAAATGCTAACCATTTACAATACATTTGATGCAGGTATTTATACTTCAGGGGGGATGAGTGAGGTGGACACGTGGCCGAACCCGGTAGGCTGTTACCTTTGCCACGAAATGCACCCATGCCCCGACTTGCTACGGCCATACTTCAGCATTAAATGCGGCTCCCACTTGCTGGCTACCCGTCCGGGTAGCACGTTCGGTGTGCGGGACCCCCTTTGAGGGTGTTTAATGCCAGTATTCTGTTGATTGTCTCAAGTGGATAAATCCACCCGGATGCCGTTCAGGTGTCCCCCATTCGGGACGTCTTGAATCCTCCCGCTTCTGTTGGGCCTCCTGTTTTCCTGGGCCTCCTTTATGCTTTGGGCCGGGCATATTGGGCTTGGGCCCAATACCCCAACACTAATGATCCCATTATATTTTGTTTAACCTCATTATATTATATGAGGTTTGTATTTTAACAACCCTAATGTATTATATGAAGTATTATAGATTAGTACAATGTAACATATATTTATTTGGCTATATTATTAACAACCCCAATTATTTTTATTTAGTTGTACAATTTTTTTATGAACACTTTTATTTGATTTTTTTTTAAATTAATTTAACTCATTTTTTAAATCTAAAAAATAAAAAATATAGAACCGGAATTGATTAGGATCAGAAAAGGAACTTTAGGAACTGGTACTATGGATGTTTTCTTTTGGACTGTTTTCAGTCCCAGACCAGACCAGACCAGACCAGACTTGGATAGTTATAAAATACACAGAGACGAGACGTTTACCAGACCAGACCAGTTCAGATCAGACCAGACCGGACTTAAACAGATCAGACCAGACCAGATCAGACCAGACCAGACCAGCAAATTTCAGTCCAAAAGAAAACATCCTATGCAATCCCTCCTCTAGTTTTACTAAATTTTTATGAGAGAACCACAGATTTGATTTCGATTTTCATTCGGATCAAAACGGGGACATCCCCTCAGTTCCAATCAATGTTCGGTTTTTACTTGAACTGAAATACTATGGGATAAAATGTTTAAGTCTGATTTGATAAATTCTAGTCTATATTTTATGAATATGAATGTCGATGTCTCGTCTTGTCTATTTTAGTTTAATCTTGTCTGATCTGATCTGTTTAAGTTTGATCTAGTCTGACCAAATAATTCAAAGTATAAACACCCAGGTAATAGTTATATTATACTCCGTATTTTTTATTCGGTATGTCTTGTTCTAGGAAAAACCTCCTTTAATCAAGTACTCCGTACTTCGTATATACTTATGAAATAATGTACGACTTTAGTATATTCTTGTACTACCTCCGTCCCATTAGAAGGTTTCCATAGCAAAACGACACAATTATTTAGACAATAATTAAATAAAGTATTTCGAGCATATTTTGACAAATAATTTTAATAGGTATATATCATAATGTAGTTAGTATTGATAATTGTGATGTTATAAATGTATTATTTTTAATATTTAATGATTAACTTGTCACTTAAGATTGTTAATTGTTTCCTAAAAAGGAAATGAGAACCTTTATACGGGACGTCCAAAAAAGAAAAGTGGGAACCTTCTAATGGGACTGAGGGAGTATTACGGAGTACTTGTATTATTTATTTATCTGTAATGATATACCTGGACATTGACCGTAATTTTTTTTAATTACCGTGTTGTTTTAAGAGTTGAAAAACAACTTTCAATGTTTATAACTTTTAACATACATCCGGTCGATCATGAAAAATGTAACTTATGCTGTAGTTTTTAATACACATATATAGGAGTTTTTTCCCGGAATAATGCTAATTAAATAAATAATTCCCAAAATACTGCCGGGTAAAGAATAATTCCCGAAATACTGCTGGGGTTAACCACGGTTAGGGAAAGCCGCCACTCCAAGTGGCGGCTTTTGTACAGCTTCACAAAAGCCGCCATTTGGAGTGGCGGCTCTTCTACTTCTGTATGAAAGCCGCCACTCCAAGTGGCGGCTCTTGTGTTAACGAACCTGCTGCAACATCATTCAGACAACTAAACCTGTAATTACCAGAAAAACAGCTCATCACAAAATCACAGTCCATTCCATTCAAAAAAACAACCAAACATATGATTTACTAAGACAAAATACACCCGAAACATAAAACGAATCAATGAAACTACATGACAACATACATCCAAAATACAAAACGAATCAATGAAACTACATATTATGAAACTTTCACAAAACGAATCAATGCACCACAAAACTGAGTATAAACCATAAAAGTTATAATAAATCTGGTGTTTCACAAAATGATTCGATCTGCCAGTGCACGCTACAACTTTCACACAATAATTTAAATACAAAGATCATAAGTCAATGTGATCATCATCATCATGAAGTTCATGTGGCTGTGCTCGGGGACGCCTGCGCTGGTTACGAGGCTGAAGAACAACTCTATCACGTCGGACTGCCTGAGAAGACCCTGCTGCGGATGTAGATGCGGTGGAATGCTGAGAGGTGGCCATATATCCATAATCCACTCGACCCAATACATCAGCGCACAGTGAAACAATGCCTGAACAAGCGTCATGGTATCCCTGTACATCTACCGCCTCATCAAGTATAGCAGTCGCTCTGTCATGGATGCTACGCAAAGCCCGTGTCTGTAATGCAAACATGGTTATTAGTGAAAAACACATGAATAAATAAATAAAGATATTTCATTGACTATATTGTTTACCGTCATATGAAGAGCGACTGAGCTAGGCTGGTAATGATCAGTGGGTAAACGAAAACTGGGAGAGATAAATACTCGTGTGATGGTGTAATACCATCTCATGTAGTCTACAGAAGTTGTGGGGACTAATGATGGGATCCCGTCCACTATATACGCCGCTCTCTCATCCCACATAGTGATATACTGAATATGGCGCATCCCCCAATCTTCAGTGTGCTTCCCCCGTCTATCAATCTTGTGCAAATCCACAGATGTATCACAAGGTCTGGGAGTAACCTGCTGCAACCCGAACTGGCGTAGTACGCGATCAGGAAAGTGATGCTCCACTACATCAAAACATATCAAGGGCACACGTGCTCGCCATATCTCAGTGTGCTCTCGGGCAACAGGAGGCAACAGCCCTAAAATCTCATCAGTGTACGGCATCCACGTCATCTATAATATAAAATTATGTTAGACCATGGTTTATAAAAACATAAAACAAAGTACTTACATTTAATGATATAAATGATATACCTGATCATCACACAAGCGATCTAAAGCATCTCGGTAGTATCCTAATCCAGCAGCGGATGACGTGCGCGTGACATGAGCAAATAGCCATCTGACACACAGTAATGTATATGAATATAAAAGGGATTCACGTATGTCATACAAAAAAAAACATAAACATACCTACGACCCAAAGGATCCTCGCCACGAACATGATGTGGCCCAAGTACAGCGTGCTGATCCATATCATCATCAAGAGGACCACCATCTATCCCATGATATCGCAGTATGACAGGTCTGCCGATATGAATGTGCTCCCATGACCATAGCTGTATCAACAATAAAAACCCACCCATCTCTCCACCGTCACGATGGCATCCTCGACATAACTGCCGATATAGGTATGCTAAAGTCGCACTACCCCAGCTATAAATTGCAGCTACATCAAAAGACTCCAGAATGGGTAAATACAAGACCTGCACCTCATTCCCGCTCTTGTCCGCAAACGTGGAAGCTCCCATAAGCATCAGAATGTAGGCTCTCGCGTACTGCTGCACAACATCGTCATCAGCATCAGCAGGTAAACCAACAAAATGCTCTCTCAAGTAGGTACGAAGAAGATCAATAATTTCATGGGCTATGAACTGAGCTGTGATACCAGCATGGTCATTGTTATCGATGTTACCTACACAAGTAGGTATATGAGGACCTGCATAACGAACAACTTTGAACATCTCTAGCTTCTCATGTTTCTTAGTAGCCCGGATCCGCCAAGTGCAGCCACATTCTTTTCTCCTCTTGCACTCTGCCACCCATTTGTGTTTGTCAGACTCTACAACTGAGAAAAATTGGTTCCTTTTTACAGAGTACGCTCTAACCATGTTGATCAGTTGTTTCTTATCATCAAACTCTTGCCCAACCTCGAATTCACCATCTGCAGAGAAGCAACTAGAAGTTGTACAACCCTTCCATGATTCATCAAATCCCGCAGGGAGCTCATAAACTTTAGTGTAGTGGCTGGATGGTGCATTGCCACTTACGAGATCACCACCATCTTCATCTGAATCTGTTAGTGTGTCATGGTTCACATTTTCATCTGCATCGTCGTCATTGCATTGTGAATCCAGAAACGTTGCATCACTATTCACGTATCTTCCATTCTCCTGTGTAACCATATTCATCACAACTGGAACACTTGTGGATGGGCAAGACAATGGCGGGTGGCAAGGTTGTATGGGCAACATCGCCACTTCTTCAACATATATCTCCATGGTATGCATATCAAGATTCTCGATTACAGTCCACATTCCTGTAACGGCTTCGTCGTCAACAAGAGGCATCAACATGTATGATCCACCATGCATGGGATATTTAACCTTCAAATCCAACTTGTTCATACGATTGATGGATGTGGCGGCATAAATTTTATTCATTATTTCAGCAAGATCCACCCCACGGGAAACAACAATTATCTTCCGAATCCCTCCTTCATAATGAACTCTGTTTGACTCCTCGATAATATTTCCTCCCCATTGACAAACAATGGAGAAGTTTCTAGACATATTCTATGAAAAAATCATTCCAAAAAAAGTATGACGTATGCCGCTATTTGAAAATTCAACTACAATTGCTATAATTCAAAAGAAAAGTATTAGATCGTAGATACATATTACGATTTCATACCATTAAATTAGGACTCATAATAATTAACCAGTAAAAACAATGCGGTGTAATAAAAAAGCAACAAATTAACACATGATTAATTAGCATTAGTTAATTAGTAAAAGAAAATCAAAATCCGTTAATAAACAAGTAAACAACAACAACTTCAAGCAAATCAACAGCAATTTTGAACAAAACAATAACAATTTCAAGCAATTTACAGCAATAACTAAAAAACCTAACTTTAGCAAAAAAGGTGAAAGTTGGTATCATTCAAATTTTACAAATTATATAAATTCAATCATAATAACAAGATTAAGAAGTTATATATTTCACAACATCAAATACAAAGAAACTAATTAAAAAAACAAGTAATTTCGAACAACCAATTAAAAAACCTAGGTTTAGCAAAAATGGTAGAATACCTCTATTCAAACAGTAGAAAGTCGATGGAATGGAGTACAAACGACCTCGGGTACACCACGAGCCTTTTCCCTTTGATTTGAGCTTCGTTTGGACGAAAGCTGGCCGGAATCGGAGTTGCTTCGTGCTGTTCCCGTTCGTCGATTGCTGCAGAGGGAAGGAGGGCAGATTAGTTCGTCGGCTGGGGAAGAAAGGGGTATGTTTACGGATTAATGAACCGCCACTCGAAGTGGCGGCTTTTGTATAACTATATAAGAGCCGCCACTCGGACTGGCGGCTTTTATAAAGATAGATGAAGAGCCGCCACTTGGAGTGGCGGCTTTGCTTAACCATGGTTAGGCAAACAGTAATTCGGGAATTATTCTTAACCCAGCAGTATTCCGGGAATTATTTATTTAATTAGCATTATTCCGAGAAAAAACTCCATATATAGACAACAAATTAAATAATACACACAACATGTAGTTCTTCGGTCACTATTAATCTTTGTGACATCGCACCCGGGTGTCCTTGAATTTGAAATTCAATATGTATTTGAATTTTTTATGTGAATATTTATGTGTGCAAGAACGGTATATTTAATTAATGAATGATTAATTAATTTTTTTAGCGGGTCCATAATATTGAGAATGTGCTACCGAATATTTAGTTGGGTCATCATAATAATTATAGAAGCCCAATAAAATGTCAACCAAAGTTGAGGAAAATGTTTGGGCAACACAATTGTTATTTTGACCCAACCTACCAAAAATAGTAAGAATAATTGGGAGGGACTTCCTACACCCACTTGGGGATCTTCCTACATGACTTGTGGTCTCCAAATAATGAATTGGAGACAACTAAAATGCTATGTGCGGACATATGGGTGAGAGGTATGGGAGAAGGCACATGCAAACATCCAAAAGGCCCTACTCTCCCTATTATTAAGAGCTAGTTGGTGGGAAGATATTTTCTTCCTTTCATTTGCACCATACTAAGGGAATAGAGAGATAAGAGAGTCTAAGGAGAGCTCTCAAAACCAGCAACCTTGGAGGAAGAAGGGAGATGGGAAATCCAAGAGAAATTAGCAAGGAATCAAGGTAAGAACTCAAATAGTTCTTTTAACTAGTTTATGTTGTATGATTTTTAAGAAATCATATAGTGGATTAAACCACGAGTTCTACACGTTTAAAAGTGTAAAATATTGATATAAAGTGGTGGTATTTAACTTAGAAGAGTTGTGGAATCGATAGGAGTTGAAATCGCCGGAAACCGCCATTGTTGGGGACTGTTTTCGAGCTGCAGGCCCGAAAGCCGCCCACCTTTTGCAAAAGCCGTCTGGCTTTTGTCTGCTGTCCAGAATTTTCACTTTCAATCGGCCTAGAACGAGGACTGATCGAAGGGCTTAGCAAAGGCAACTAGTTGAGCACATCATAAGGTGATGATGACTGACTATATTGTTTATAACTAGTGGGTCAATTCATGAGATTACCTAATGTTATAAAAGCATGATTTTTATTAACTAATATGCTAAGTAAAGTGTCAATTGATCATATTGTTGTATATGAGGAGTTGATGCATGATGGATTGTACTATGAGTAATTGGAGCATGATTACTTGATATACTTGAGATGTTATTTTAGGCGATATAGTGATGAACTAATAAAAATGATTTATTAATCACTATTTAATTGTATTGACTTTATGGTTAGTAAAGTCAATATAGAATGAAGTGAGAATGAGTCATGGCATGACCGCCATGTTTGTTTAAAGGGGAAAGACAACTTGAACTTAGAACAACTCGGGTGGTACTAATTGACTAGCCCGAGGTTATAGTATGAACATAAATAAATTAATCCTAAGTTTAGGATTGTGATGCTTCGTCACTAGGGTATTCATTCGGGATGGCCTTAGATGATTTAAATGGTATAATTAAATGATATAATTATCCTAGGGTTGGATTGTTGATATTATTATCCGGGTGGTCTTTAGGATACCCGTAATTGATTGTTTGATTGGTAGCAAGGGTCATGGCTCGGCTCTAGTCTAAGGATAGATACCCGACCACATGGACTTGCTAATAGATAGATGAGGGACATGGGTCGGACGAGTCTGAGGATCGTTCCGGACTGCATGGGCCCATAATAGAATAGATGTAAGGATCATGGTCCTGCTTGGCTCTAGAGAGCGAGTTGGATAGCATGGACTTACAGCGTGATCACGTATAAGGGTGGAATCCGAATCAAAGACCTAACGAGGCTTTGACAGCGGTAACACATAAGATAGGACCCCGAATGGGCCTTACCTTCCTACGGGAACAGGGTACGAGTCCAGGGGCAGGATGCTGGACTCCGACCGAGTGCTCTGCGGGGACTTGGATAGCGGTGACAAGTTCTGTATGATTGATGTGACCGTTGGGTTAAATTGTATAAATTATTAATGTAATGAATTATTGCAGGGTGATACAAATTGTATTTTTGAATTATCGCAAGGCGATACAGTTAGTATTATTAAATACAAATGGGGAAATAATTTATCGCGTGACGATGCAAAGGGTTTTTGACAAATACAAATGGGCCTTTGGGTCGACTATTTGACATTTTATACTTATGTATGTTTTGAAAGGGGTAACTATGGGTTATTTCCTAGAAATATGATAACACCTTATGTTGAGGGTCTTAAGGATTGAAACATTAATTATATGTAGTATAGTTGTCATTGTACTTTTCAAATGCTTCAAAGTACTGACCTCCCCTTCACGAGGGAGGCCACCTCACAGTTTTCAGGTAGAAGCTAGAGCTTGCTTCCTGTACCCGTTGCTTCGGGAGTTCTTGGAGAGAAGACGTGGTTTGTGCTTCCTCCGTTCTGTTTTCCAAAACAATTACAATAATGCTCATGGATAATATTTTCTAATAGATTATTTGAGGGCTTGTATGCCTAAGTTTGACAAGTGTGGCTTGAACACTTATAATATTGTTTCCGCTGCTTTAATGAATATTTTACATTATGTTTGCCTATGGATGTACTATGTGTGAATGATATTCCAGATACCTTGTATAGTATGGATGTGTTAGACTGCAGTTGACTATTCATACTGTACGGCGGATTGTTGACGTGTCCGGGTAGATCCAGGACGTGACAATCTCTTTCAATTAATAAGCACTTTTTACATTCAAACAGCCACTCCAACAAAGAATAACAATAACAAATTTTAATATAATCCTATTATTATTGGCCATCTTAACATTATTTAAAAGACATAGTCATGAGTACAAAATTTTAAATGTATTGGTTTTTCTGAAGTGCAATTCACTCGTACATTTTTATTGTTATCATATGTACACACACTTTAAAATCAGCCTTCAGGCAACATGTGTGTACATGACATTTTGGGGAACACTAATTAGAAAACAATTTTCTGCGATCACATTCTCGAGAATGTAACTTTTCCAATTTCTTTTCAAACCCGTGAACCAAATAAGGGTATCTAACATTCCGTGCATCACATTCTAGCCTTCATGTGAGATCACCCCAACCAAACATACCCTTTGATGTATACAATATTTATGGATTGCAGGATTAGGCACCATAGAAACATTAAACGAGTAACAGGATACTAATTAACATAAAAAGGTACGTTATATACGCAATATTTGATAATAAATGAGTAACAGGATACTAATTAAAAAATCTGAGATAGAAGCGGATGTCTCCCTAGTCATCTAGGGTTAGTTTTTTTGCTGCGCCATTCTTCTTCCTCGATCGGCAGGGAAGGGCTTCGGTGTCAGCAGGTTTTTTCTTCGATTGTTCTTGTGTTCGGTCGTGGAAGGAAGGGCTTCGGCTCTGGTTTTTCTTCAGAGGTGTCTCGGCGAGGAAGGGAAGCAGGGCTGCGGATTCAGCTCCTGGTGCGCCATCGGTCGTTGATCGAAGAGGTTGGAAGCTTCTTGATCGCGGCAGGACTCGGGCGGTTTGGATCGCTTTCTTCTTCTTCGGGTTATGGCCTTCTCAGCTGTGCTGCTGTTTTCGATTGGGGAAATTTGATCAAGCGGGGATCCCGGGTTCACTAGTGCTATAATCGCAGGGGGTCAAGGAGATGTCTGTGGAATTTGTGATGGTGGGTTTGCAAGGAATCTTTCAAGATGAAGGTTTGATGATCCGTCCCCCTCCTGAGCCACTGTCGAGGATGATGTTTGAGGCAGAGTTTCGTTTTTTCTGTAAGTTTATTTTACTTATTTTCGCTTTACTCTTTTTGAGGTTATTAGGCATGAATGCTGTCGTTATTGTTTTCTGTATTGTTTATTTCCGCCAGACTCTCACATTAGGTGAGGGTGATGAAGGTTTTACTCTGGTCACGTTTGACTCATTTAGACCCATTACAGGACAAGCGAATCATATTGCTCTATACAGGGTGATTGGTTCTCCAGCTGGTCTGAGGGTTGGTGGCTGGAAGTTTTCTTTTATCGTTTGTATCCCTTGCTGAATGTTTTATTATCGATATAAGTCCTCTTGTTACAAAAAAAACAGGATACTAATTAACATACTCTCTCCGTATTTTAAAGTTTGCTACACTTTCCTTTTTTTGATGTATTTAGAAGTTTATTACACTTTCCCTTTTGCAAATTTTTCATTTAAAAAAACTCAATTACCTTTGCTTTTTCTACTTTTTATCTTCTCTTTTTTACTTTTCCACCTTCTCTCCTACTTTTTCTACACTATTCATTATAGATGTTATTTTACCTTTAAATCTTGTGCTCAAACCTATTGTAATATTGTATAGAACATTAAATATAGAGTAAAAAGGTTAGCATACCGGATCTTGTTCAAAATTGGAGTTAGGTGCAAGTGAGACATAATTTGTATACATACAATTGACATAATGAGCCATTGGCCTTAATGCATAGAGAATATAGCTCTAACACTTAACGAATTGAATAATTGAATAGGGTATTGCCCTCTTCTGTTCAACCCCATAGAATTGGAACTATGGAGTATAAGATTCCATAAATGAACAGAAGGAACTGAAATTGATTAAAAATAAGACTAGAATAAAATAGTGAAATAAAGACAAATTGGAGAGCCCCTCCCCTCCTCACTGCCCCAAATCAATCAATCAATCATAACTCGCAGACACAGCCCGAGTAACTGTTTTGGTCGTGACCTTATTGTAT